GGGGGGCACTGCGCGCGCTGCCCTCCCCCCCCACCCCAGGCCACATGCTGCATTCCTCCCCCCTTGCATCCCTGCCTCTCCCCCCGCTCTGGGACCCTCTTTCCTTGACGTCACCTCCTTCTTGTCTTGGATCTGGGCCTTGATGATGGTGTCTTGGATGCGGGCCTGGAAGGCATAGACAGCCGAGTCGGCATCCATGGGGAAGGTGAAGATAGCCTCCACAGGGTCCGATTCCTCATTCTTGTACAGCAGCTCGGAGCTCACATCGGCCACAAAGCTCTGGATGCACACGTCCACCGCAACACGGCGCAGTGGCACTGGAGCCAGGGAGAGGCTTTGTCACCTACAAGGCCTCCTGCCCTTGACCTCCACGGACACTGCATGCTCACATTAGCAGCGGGGACCCAGGCCTCATGTCTCCCGACTGACACTTTGGGGAGGAACCCACTTGGACATCAAGCCCCCTTGGCTACTGGGGACGCGGGGCACGCTAGCCACAGGCCCTCTAGCCCGTTTCAAGGGTGCTGGGGGAGAGGCTACCTTAGCCCTGGAGCTTTCCACCTTATAGGGGGAGCTATATATCAACTATGGCAATTCCACCCATGGACCCCACTAAGGTGCCCCAAAAGTTGCAGCGGCCTCAGGACTGACTTGACCCCACTGGACCGCAAGTGGAGGGGCCAGGTGAGCAACCGGAGTTCCCCATCCTAGGGGGCACTGGGCAGAGGGTCTTTATCCTCCATGGGCTCTCTCATCATGCCAGCTGCTTCCAGGACACAGCTGTGCCCAGCCTGCTCATGGCACCCACCCCACCTGGCCCCAGCTCACCTGGCTTGTTGCTACTTGTCAGGAGGCCGCAGGTCACCATCTTGGCTCTGGAGGTGCCTGTTTGGGGTAGAGCACACAAGGAAGGATACAAGGTTCCCGTGCACTTTGATGGGCACCGAAGCTCTTCCCCACCCCGGGCCCAGCCAGTGCTATGGCAGGACGTCCCAAAAGCTTCCAGGGCTTGGGCTCTGTGACCAGCATTGCTAGGCCCTGACGGCGCCTCTCAGTCCAGTCAATGCTTGGTGCAAGACCCCGACCATGCCATTAAGGGGCCCCAGAGAGAGGGCAGGACTGGCCTGGTAGAACTGCAGCATGGCTCTGCCTGAGGGCAGCCACGTCTTGCCACAAGCATGCTGAGCAGAGCAAAAGCATCAATGCCAGGGTTTCCCAACCTGGGGAGCTCAGGGGAAGGATGTGGGGAGTCATCATGAGCTGGGGAAGAAGCTGCAGGAGAGAGACCGGGGCCCCCAGAAAAATTTGCTGAGCCCAGAAAACGCTCAGAAGCAGAGGTTGGAAAATGCAGACAGGGATTTTATTGTTATTGCATTTTATTGTTATTTTATTTTATTGCATTCATGCATTTCTTTTGCTTGCTCTACAGGTCGGAGAAAGACGGATTTCTTGTGGTTAACCACTTCATTTAAAAGGGAGCAGTTTTGGGCCACAAGGTGATCCGAATACTTTCTGTTTTGGGGGTGAAATAAAAATGAAATGGGGCATCCCCTCCCCCCACCAGTTTTTTGTGCAAACACCAACACGGTTTCATTTCTGGTTTTGTATTTGCCCTTTTGCCACCCACTGCAAGAGCCTCACTCAGCTCCTGATATAAAGAGAAGCTCTTGTTCTGATCTTTCTGTTTATTTTCAGTTTTGCAAAACCCAGGAGGGCTTACACAAGCAAACACGATAGCAATTCTGCTAGCAGGCTGGCCCGGTCCAGTGGCTCTTTTAGAGGAACAGGAGACTGGTCTAGGCCAGTCCTCTTCTCTTCTCCCTCCACAACAGCACAGGAACTGTTGCTTCCAGAAAATCCCCAGAGGCGTGGTGCCCAAGCACTAGGTCAGAAGCCAGGCCACACAAATGCTAGTTATCATAGGTACTGTGACTCTCAGCCCTCGGGTAGCGTAACCAGCTTATGTTTGAACCCACTCCCAGCCACACCAACGGGAGAGGAGCCTGTTTCTCGGGCTGCTGTGCCAGGAGGGTGAGAGAAGCAGACACCTGCGCAGAAGAGAGGAGGGGGGCTGCGGGTTTTCT